CTTTCAGCTTCCTCTTCGGCTTCCTCAGCCTTAAGAATTTCAGCTTCAGCTGGAGTTGCATACTTCATGTGAGGGTCTTCGGGATTCTGGACCCACTCAGCACATTTAGACCAGTCCAGTTTCGGCTCAGCATGAAGGCAGACTCTTCGGCATACTCGGAATCCGTTTCTGAAACCCATCTCATATTCCTCTTGGGTATAAACACGGACCTTGAGTAAAGCCTCAGCATCAGCCAGCTTCTTCTGGGTCTCCTCCAAGTCTTCCTTGGATTTCTTCAGCTCATCAGCGACTTGGGAGGAGGAACCTTTCAGCTCATTCAGCTCTTGCTGAATTTGGAAAGCCTTTGTCTGGGCCTGGGCCACTTCAACTTTCTGGATCAGCAATTGATCCTCAGCCTTTTGGAATTTAGCTCTTTGAGCTGCAGCAGAAGCAGCAGCCTCTGAGAGTTGGACGTCTTTGGCCAGGAGCAATTCTTCAGCAGCCATTCGGCTGGCTTCAAGAGCCTCTAGACGCTGCTGCACTTCAGCTTGTGCAGCAGTTCCTTCTTGAATTCGGCTCTCAATAGCGGCCTTGAATTTGGAGACGTCCACTCCCATATGCTCCTGGAGGAATTTTTCCCCTTCCATCAGTGGGGGAAAAACCTCCATCTCCATAGCATCGCAGAAGGTTTTCAGAGCTTCGGCAGCTTTTTTACCGTACTCCTCAACCTCCTGCTGCTTCTCTTCAGCTGCTGCTTGCTTCAGCTTAGCAAGCTTAACTTCCTCTTCAGCCACCTTCTTTTCGTGCACAGCAGCGTCTACCCTATCTTGTAGGGTATCAATCAGCTCTACAGTGAGAGTCTGATTGTGCACGAACTGAAAACAGGAAGACAAAAAAAAAATATAATAAATAAAAAAAAAATATATATATATATGAAGAGCTGAATTTCGGAGGAAATGAAGGAAAATTACCTGCATCATCAGCAGTTGGTTAGACCTGGCTGGGTCAGGAACTGATCTGCTGGATTCGCCCATCCCAGCAGTGGCCTTCAGCGACCAGATCCTTGCCCTGTCTACTTCGGACATGCCAGCAAAATTGCCGAAGTAGGCTGCAGCTCCTTCTCGGTTTTGGCCCCATATGAGGTCCCAGATGTGATCTGGGATTGGAATTCGGGGGGCCGAGAAACCCATTTCTCCAGAATGCAGAGTCTGGAAAGAAGGGAAGGACGACGATGGAGCTTGATTAGCTTTGGCTGTCTCAGCATCGTCCTTCTCAGAGGAGTCAATTACTATGACCTCCTCTTCTTCAGGGGTGAGGACGAAAGCCTCAACCTCTCTTGCGATATCTGCCGTGAAGCCCTCAGCACTGGACATCACGGCATCTTTATTTTCGTGCTCAGCAGCACTCTTCTTGATTTCTTCTTGGACCCCTCCCTTAGGTTCGGGAGTTCTCTGATCCACCTCCATCTCAGGAGGTGGCGGAGGGGTCTTTTGAGGAGATTGGGGTGTTGGCTGGGGAACCCTCGGCGATCCATTGCCTTCCTCAGGTTCCCTTATTGCGACGCCGATGGTCATCGGCCTCTGCTGAAAGTCATGAGGGCCGATGATGGCCATCCTTCGGCGCCTTTTCAGAAGGGGCTGCTCGTCCATATCTGAGTCTGAAGACTCTTGTATTTGATCTTCGGGACGAACAGGAGCTTTGCCTTCTCTGTGTCTGTTACTCTCTTCAGACTGTAACAGACAGGGGGGAAGAAGAGTGTGAGTAAAAAAAAAAAAAAAAAAAAAAAAAAAAAAAAAAAAAAAAAAAAAAAATGAAAGGAAAAAAATTGTCTGAAGCTCACCGAGGTTTTCAGCAAAGCCTCGTCTTCTTCAGCTGCTCTAGCTGCAGCTTCGGCCTCAGCAGCTCTGGAGGACCCTTCTCCTCCTTCGCAAGCCTCAAGTACCCGTGCAACCTCTTCGGCTGTGCGGGCAGCTTCAGCTTCTTCGTTCAGCAGCTGAAACCAAGGGTCTCTCTTCTTCCACCAAGGCTTCTGCCTCTGATACAGAGCAACAGCCTCAATTTGGAAGTGGGAAGAATCCAGATGAACTTCCCTATGCCTCGGCTCAGTGATAGACGGGGCCCGTTCAGTTACAACTCGCTCTCGGTTAACACCAAGACGAGCGTAGTTAATACCAACGTTGGTCTCGTCCCGTTCTGAAAAAAGGAAAGGGAAAAAAGTTTAGCTCAGATATGTTGGCACAGCATTAAAAAGCAAAGCGAGAGAAGAAAAAGAGGTAGTTAAAAGCCTCGGCCCCAGCCGAAGAAGCTTACCATCCTTAAACTTTCGGCTGAGGCCAACAGCTGCTAGCATATTCTCTTGGAAAACGTAATGCGTATCGGGGAGCCAAGTCTCCGGGATATGCTGCATTCGACCACTCCCCCCCGGGTTCGGCAGCTTGCCGAAGATATGTTGCTGATCCAGGTTCGGATCCGCCCCGTTATCTGCGGGGGGACCTAGACTTCCCATTTCGGGATCAGGCTCAGCTAAGTACCGGGGAGCGCTGAAGACGCAAGGGTGGCCCGGATCTGTGGGTGCCCTAACCCAAATCCATTGACCTCTCCAGTCCTTGTCTGAAGATTCATTTGGCCACATGGTCAAGTATTGGGGCCGGGACTCAATCCGATACCACCCAGAACCATGGCTTCCGTGCCCACTCTGAATATTTGGCACTAGCCGATGGAGCTTTCTGAAGCAGTGCAGGTTCGGCACATATTTGAAGAACTTGCAGACCCATAAGTATGTCATCACCCTTCGGATGCTGGTGGGGGTCAGCTGACATAGGGAAATGTTGTAATGGATCAGCAAGTCTCGGACGAAAACGTCCAAAGGGAACCTCAGCCCATACTGAAGCTGTCTCGTGTACACCCCCACATACCCCGGGGGTGGACGATGGATTCTATCGGATGCTGAGGGCATTCGGCACCAATATCCATCAGCTTCAAAAATGCCGTAGTGCAACTCAATTTGCTCGGCAAATCGATATTGATCGGCGTTCTCTACCCACCATGAGTAGGGGCGGTTCTTTATCATGGCCGAAGCGACTTCGGCATTCTCCCACTCTGAAAACCCAGGGAGGATATCCCAAAGGACGGCGGGAATTTCATCATCCCGTCCAGAAGCACTCGGCTCATCCGTTCTTTGAGGAGGAGCCGAGGAAAGGGGAGTCGCCCTAATCCCTTCAGCAGGGTCAGACTCCGGCCTTTGACCATTCCAGGTCCCAATCCTGTTCCTAGGATCGGGAATCGGCCTTGCTCTTCTTGGAGCACGGGCTCTACCTCTAACTCCTCTTGCCATGGATTGTTTCGAAGAGAAAAGTCGAAAGAAAAGGGGAAGGAGTTCGAATTCGAAGAAAAATAAACTGAAATCAAAGGAATTTACCTTAATCTGAAGCGAAAGTTGCCGATTTACGAGTTCGTAGTGGCAAGTCTCAGTTTCTAAGCTCAATGCTCGGGGAATTTGCGAAGTTTTGATGCGGGTTCTTGGTTTCTCTCTCGAAGAAATCTGGGTTTGTGTTGGTGAATAAGTGAGGAGAATGACGCGCCTCTGTTTATATCTCCAGGTACGGGATACGAAGAGTCTGTGCTTTAATTTCTCTTAAATACCCACTAAGTAACCATTAAACACATGTCTTGTGATTAAACTGCCCATTATCCGTCCAACTTCCGCAAATCATTAACCGTTGTTATCTCATTAATTACGGTTTAAATTCAAATTTTTGGATCAATTAAATCATTTACTTCCCTCCTTTTCTGAATTAAATCAAACCCGACCCGTCATCCTTCCAAATCGGGTCTGGGGGGCAAGTTGTTTGGGTCCAATTTAGTCAAAATTGGGCCTAGGCACTAAATGATCCAATTAAAAGCCCAAGGTCAAGGTTCAACTCTCCAATTGCTCAAAAGTCAAAGGTCAGCCCACAAAGTAAGCCAATTGGGCTAAAGCCAAATCTCTCCATGTATGATGAGGTATAAAAGCCATCATAATGACACATTCAAGGGGACATACATTCACATTCCATTTCATATGCTCATTCTTGCATTCAGAAATATTCCACAAAAGCCTCAAGCTACAAACTCTCTTGCATAGTGTCTTCCTTTTACACATTGTACTGACTTTAGCATCGGAGGGGCCTTCCTCGGAAACACCCCCGAGGCTAGTTTACGTGTGTTCACTGTGCAGGAAACCTTCGGCCCAACACAGCTTGGACCGAATCCAGTCTTCTCCATTTCAGCGGACCTTCGGCAAGGTCCCATTGTTTTCAACCGAAACAATAACTATGTTTTTTAACCAAAGTAATAAGATCAAAGATGGTTAAGAATTCAGATGATATTGATAATAAGTCAATGCGAACTTAAAAATCTATGAAAGCTTATCGTTTTTTAATCCTGCAACATCAAATGATTGATTAGTCCAAGTAAATAAAAAACAAAGAAAATTTTGATAAAAGCTGAAACAGTGAAATGTATTCAACTTCTCTTTTTTCTCTGACACCTAAAACCATTTAATCACCACTATAACACTCCATTTTATTATATACTATGTATCTCTAAACAATCATGTAAAATGACATTGTACTTATTTAAATTCAACCTAACTAGTGATATTCCATAAAATTGAAACCCAATCTACCGAGGCCAATTCTTGAGTTCATATAGCGCAAAACCCCACCGATAAAATGAAAAGGGATTATCTGAGTAATAAAACAAGACCAAATTAAATGACGTTCTGCAATAATTGAGATTTTCAATCAATTAGACTAAAACCCAAAATAATTGAAGCGTAAATAAACTAAAACGCCCAATAAACCTTATGCGCGCAACACGCCATACAGTTAAACCCTAGATTTAAATACAATGGCTTTCTACAACTACACAATAAATAAAAATTCAATTTAACTTCACAACAAATTAATAAAACCAAGTATATCTCTGAATGATTTTCAAGCACAATGGCACGAAATTGATTAGAAAAAGAACGATGTTACCATGAATTGAAGCAATTAACAAGCAGCGGAAGAAATTTAACACGACTTCGACCCATATTCGCTAAATTTCAGGCGGCATCAAAGGATAACTATGATTGTATAAGAATAGAGGAACAGGATCGTGATGAACAATTAGTTTTAGAGTATGAATTTTTCAGATCTGAAAGCTAGAGAAAGAGAAGAGAGAGAGGGGGTTTCCATTAGAGCTGTCAAAGGCTGACCCGACCCGAAATACCGACCCTAACCTGACCCTAACCCTAACTCGTCTGAATCCGAAAAAAATGGTGACCCGAACCCGACCTAACCCAACCTGAAACCAACCCTAGACCCGAGTTGACCCGAGTATTTGAGACCCGAACCCGATCATGACCCGACCAAGAGAGGACCCGACCCGAATGTGACCCGTAAATTATTGACCTGAACCGAACCCGACTCGAACCGAGAATGACCCAAACCCGATTTAACCCGTCAAAACCCGAATTCAACCCGACCTTTTACTAACCAGACCCGAGGTCAACCTGACCCGTTCCTAACCCGACTCGAATTTAAACCCGACCTGTTACAAACCCGACCCGAAATCAACCCGACTTGCTATTGACCCGACCCAAATTCAACCCGACTTCTTATAGACCTGACCCGAATTTAAACTCGACCTATTACTACCCAGAATTTTAGGATTTAGGAGTTTTTAGGATAAAAAGAGTACTCCGTATTGACTATTGAGTTTCAGGCTTTTTGTTTTTAATTTATTAACATGGATTCCAATTATAAAACAAAAGTGGCATTTCTCATCTTACTCGACTTATCTCTTACATAATCCTCATCAAAGAAAAATTGAACTGGACAACATCCGAAAAAAAAAAAAAACAAAAAAAAAAATTGATTGAATCTTAGTATATTAAGGAAGGTTGCACTCTAATTGCAAGATTGACGAAATTTTCCACCATGAAATCTCTATTGTGATTAATTTTATTTTTCCTAATTATCTTCAACTTCCTATATGAGCAATGAGCTATATGAGGACATGAGGTGATAGAGTATTAGAGTAGAGTTGTGACTCTCTGAGCTGTCAATGTTTTTTAAACGTATTTAAGGCAATATGAGGTAAGTGAGGTGAATCGGTGATAGTGATTTTTTCTAATTAAATCAGTCAAATGTATTTTTTTTTCTAAATTTATCTTATAAATAAACTTTTTTTTTTAATAGCAAAAACATTTCATTAATTAAAAGTCATACGACATCTACAATAGAGATTCGACGTTAACAAATACATAAGATTATAACCCGTAAATAAACTTCCATATAACTACTTATATTTTTTTTTTCAAATTTTAGTATTCACTTGTTTATTTTAAATTTGTTTTTAAAATGTTTTAAATTATGCAATTTTATTTGGAGCTTTAAAATATTTTTTTTTTAAATTTTATTTACTTGAACCGAACCCGACTCGAACCCGAGAATGACCCGACTTGATTATAACCCGCAAATTATTGACTTGAACCAAACCTGATTCGAACCCGATAATGACCCGACCTGATTATAACCCGTAAATAATTGACTTGAACCGAACCCGACTCAAACCCGAACAGGACCCTAACTCGTTTAAACCCGTAAAAACCCAAATGTAACCCGAACTATTTTTCACCCGACCCGAATGTAACCCGACCTTTTATTGACCCGACCTAAACCCGACCCAAACACGATAAGATGTATGACCCGACGTGACCCGACTCAAGCATGACCCAACCCAAACCCGACCCGCATAGGTCCCGACATTAACCCGTAATGACCCGACCCGAGATAACCCGACCCACACTAACCCGATTCAAACCCGACCCATTTACCCGAATTGACAGCTCTGGTTTCCATTACGTGTGTGGGTAGTAGGGGCGGTTTATGATTTTTTTTTTTTTATGTTTTAAAATTACATACACCGCTTTTTTGAAGTCATGGGTTGCGTTAGTCACGTGCGAGTCATACAATATTTTCGACGCTTTTCCATGTCGAGAAACTACTTTTACTTAAAAAAGCGTCGACAAAAAACGGAAACATATTTTTCAACTGACGTCTCATAGACAGTGTCGAGTCAACATCGTCTCAAAAGTAAGGGATTTGTAGTAGTGTATTTTTTCAAGGTGATTTTTATGGCTTAATTTTTCTGGTTTAACTTGCTAATTAGATTAGTAGCTCGTATTATCTATTTTAACCTCGTATTTAAGCTACCTTCAGCCCCGAAGCCAGATTTTGACCCAAAAATAGTGAACTTTTTGGTGGAAAATGTGTTCTGGAAATGGTTTTTTCCTTTTAGGAAAAATTAGAAATCAGAAAAAAAAAAAAAAAAAAAAAAAAAAAAAAAAAAAAAAAAAATCCCAACTTTCATCAATTTTGGTAAAATAATCCCAACTTTTGATTATTCTGGAATAATCCGAACTTTAGGGGGTCTTCATTTTCTTCAGTCCCAAACCGGTCAACGAGAGTCAACAACCTTTAATAAGAGGTCACATGACACGTGTCAGCTTGTCATTGGTCCAAAAAAAAATTAAAAAAAATCAGAAATCAGAAAAAAAAAAAAAAAAAAAAAAAAAAAAAAAAAAAAAAATCCCCCCCAACCACCACGTTCCCCCCACCTAAACCACCCCCTCCACCACCCCTTCCCCCAGCCCCCACTCAGCCGGAAAACTCCCCCCACCCCCCAACCACCATTCCCCACCCACCGAAACACCTCCCCCTCCCTTCCCCCACCAACGAAACCCTTCCCCCTCCATTCCCCCACCCCCGTAAAACCCTCCCCTCCTTCCCCCACCCCGTAAAAACTAACCCCTCCCCTTCCCCCACCCTCGATAACGGCAGGAAACGACAAGAGGGCTTAATTTCCGGCCGTTTTCGAGGGTGGGGGAAGGGGAGGGGGGAGGGTTTCGTGGGTGGGGAAGGGAGGGGGAGGTGTTTCGACGGTGGGGAGTGGTGGTCGGGGGGTAAGGGGGGTTTTTCCGGCAGGGTGGGGGTAGTTTCGGGGTGGGGGCTGGGGAGAGGCTGGTGGGAGGGGGTGGTTTCGGTAGGGGAACGGGTGGTTTGGGGGGAGTTTTTTTTTATTTTTGTCATTTTTGATTTTTGATTTTTAATTTTTAATTTATTTTATTTTTTAAATTTATTTTTTTTTTACCAATGACAAGCTGAAACGTGGCTTTCAAAAACAGAAAAAAAAATTAACCTTCTCAACAGGTAACCGGTCATTAGGACTGAAGAAAATGAAGACCCCCTAAAGTTCGGATTATTCTAGAATAATCCAAAATTGGGATTATTCTACCAAAATTGATCAAAGTTGGGATTATTTTTTCTAATTTTTCCAACTTTATAATACTAAATTCCGTTAATTTTTATTAAACTTTATTGATTTAATCATTTTTTAGTTGATTGGAATCATAAAGTTTGAAACTTTGTGATAAAAAAAAATTGTTTATCTTCCTATTGGAAGATATAAATTTTCAAGGATTCACAAGTATTAAAGTTGGAGTCTTTATTGAATTTATGTTCATTTTTTCAACTTTATCTTATTTTTTCAAAAACTAAAAGTTAATTTAAATTAATAGTGAGTATTTTCCCTATTAAGTTTGTTGCACCAAGTTAAACCAATTTAATTAAAGAATGGTTCTTGGGAATTATTTTTGTTAAATGCACTTTAAAAATTTTATTTAAGTTAGACTTGTTTAAATTTTTTAATTTTTCTCATTAAATTACTTCTAAAATTAATTTAGAATTAATTGTATAAGTCACGCAAAATTTTGGGATCAAATCCCGAGGCTAATGGCACACAAAATAAGACATGAGCGCCCTTGGCTAGCCGGGCTGCATAGCAGCCCGCATGTGGCTGCCAAGGGGCTGTTATGCCCTGTGCGTGCAGCCATTGCGTGGCTAGTGTGCACGACCGCAAGCAGCAGCAGCACAAGCGACGCAGCACAGCAGCAACACGCTGCCATGTGCGTGCGTGCGTGTGTGCTGTGTTGCGTGTACTTGGGGCTGCTGTGGCGCGGGTATGTGGGGGACGAGCACATGGTGCATCGTTTGGGACTTGGTGCATGCATCGTGTAATTAGGGTTATGCGTAGACGTTGCTTGGAAAGCAATGTAGTGCAATGAATTCGTTCAACATGGCCATCAAGGGCCACGTTTTTTATGTGTGAAAATTCACTGATGTGTGCGGTGTAACGCTTAGCGACATCGGGCCCACTCCCACGTTCATTGAGCATCTAACGGTTGTGCGAAATGTGAGAACTCTGTGTCTTAGTGCTAGGCACTTAGACATTTTGGACTACGTATTTTATCTTAATAATTGTCGTTTTAATTATTTTATTGATCTAATTTATTTTAATTATTTTAATAAATTTTGGAGGCTAGGCCTCGGTTTTGAGCAGCATTGGCAAAATTTATTTTGACAAATATGTGAATTACCGACTTAATTAATTGGATTAATTAAGTTGGATACGGAATTTAGTGGGAGTTTCAAATGTTAAATTGCGCTTATTTACATAACCGGTTAAAACAACTTTGACTAGTTTTAATTAGGCATGTTAATTGGATTAACCACCTAGATTAGTTACTAGTTCACGCGTGTTTTTGCATTGTTACTTGTTTATCGTTATAAAATGCATGGGCCATTCACAAATACTGAATGGATGAATGGAATTTATATTCTCTACAGGTTTTATAAAATGGCAACTAGTGCGGCCCGATTAGGATAGAAAATACGGACTGTGATCCCTGATGTATTTTTGTAAATCTAAATACGGTCTGCGTACCATTGAGTATTTTTGTACCTTAGTTTTTAGATTAGTCCTAATTGTAGATAATAGTAGTTGCATTTAATTATGCTCAAGTCTTGAAGATGGAGTTTCTAAGAAGACGTAGCCATGAAGTTGCAAATGAAGATCTTTTGAAGACTCGAAGATTTCAAGGGGTCATGCTAGTTGCCAAATGCATCTATATTTATGTTTTCCGATATATATATATAAATATATATATATATATATATATATATGTTTATGTATATGAATTATATGTTAGATGCATGTTTAGGATTTCGAATGTTGAGATGATTAATTAAGTTCACTTAAATCAACCAACATAGAAACCCTAGGTCCCTAAATATTGAGTAAAAACTTGTCGTTCCCAAAAACATTTACCGGCCGAACGCGGGTAGAGGTGGGCTACGCCAAAGCGAGGCATCAATAACTCTCCAAGGAAGTAAGGCATTCCGGGTATGCAACTTGGTTTTGGTTGTACTCAACGATATGAGTGATGGAGTCCTAACATGTCGTGGCAAAGTGAATAAATTGTTGAGAGAGCATTAGATGCGACGATTTATCCAACCAAGAGTGGCTTGGAGCCATTAGCAAAGCGTTGCTTACCTTAGGAGATTGAGTGTTAAGACAAGCCAAAGCATGCT